TTTTTTTTTGATTGACAGTATCCGCTGATCCCAGTTTTGCCACCCAGGAGCTCCGTGAGCTTCACACTTATCACACCACCTAAAATTTCGGCCCTATCCTGCTGCCCAGCGCCGCTAGTCTTGCAACCCATCAGAAGAAGAGGCCGATTTACAGTAAAAAAAAAAAAGAGTAAGAACACTTCAAAAAAAGGGTCAAACGGCAGCACGAGACATTGTAGAGTCATCGTGTGGATGCTTCTTCTAATGATATTTTGAGAATCTCATTTATCCTTGCTCTGAGATGGCTTAAACTGCACAGTGACCTTGTACTATTTTTTGGGGGGGAGGGGGGAACAGAACAAGCAACCAACAAAAAAAAMCCCAAACTATCACCTCTGTCTACAGCAGACCTCCAGGCTGCTCATGTGAATGGAAATAACTGGACTAAAGGTAGGCCTGGACTCAGGCAGAAAGGTGCAAGATCCAAATGAATCCAGTTCTCACTATACTGTAAAACTTGGGATAGGCGCTTCCACCTGCTTGAGCACCGCATTGGAGCAGCCAGACGTGCTGTAAATGTCCTCAGAATTGTTAAAGCCATTGAAATTCAACTGCTATTGGTAACAGCAGAAATATTTTTGCATTATTCTAGTGCGGACATGGCTGAAAATCATATTCCTGCCCATGATATGATGTAATCATATGCAGAGCAATTAGCTGTAGTATCACAGAGGATTATGGCTTGAAGTGAGGAATAAGTAACACAAGCAGATGGACTCCTAAAATACTCCGTTTTCATATGAATTTAAAAGCAGGAAAGGAGAACTGGAAGAAATGTGCCATTAAAACATCACAGCATTGTGGGAGAGCATTCTCTAAAATATTCCAYAGGATTTCTTGTACGCAACTATAACATTAAGAATACAGCAGAATTAAAGCAATTGCTTTGGCATGGGGAATTTAGTGATAAAWAGGAAATAGGAGGGTGGTGGAGTCAATAACCTGGTGGAATTTATATGTAGTGACCAAATGGGAAGTTGTAGAAATCCGAATAAAAGCAAAGATGGAGGAAGAAGTGGAGATGATGGAGAAAGTTTTCACAGCTCTGTGTGTTTGGAAACCACTGAGATAATTCACAAAGTTATTTGTGCCCGTGTCACTTGCTGCATGTTGTATTTTCAAGGCTTATCTGTGTTCTTGGACTAGCTAGGACTAGCCAGTGGACTACATAGACAAAAAGAAGAATCATCTTTGCCTTAGTAATACAAGATCCAGAAGAGGCAGCATGTTACTTTTTCATTGATTTGAAAAGCTATGATTCCTTTAGCAGTAGGGGGCTAGATGTGTGTAGGCAGAAGCTGACAGTGTTTCTGCAAGCTGCACAGCACCCGCAAGCACCCACAAGATTAATAACATCTTCCTACTCCTCTCTCCCAGGCTGAGGAAGGCGCATATTCTGCACGAACAAGTATTTTCTGAATGGACATCTCCATGCCCAGAAGGGGAGATATGGGCTTCCTGCAGGATCACGGAATCACATGGAATGATTGAGGTTGGAAGGGACCTCTAGAGATCATCTAGTCCAACCCCTCTGCTCCAGCAGGGACACCCAGAGCACGGGGCACAGGGCTGCATCCAGGCGGGTTTGGAAGATCTCCAGGGAAGGAGACTCCACARCCTCCCTGGGCAGCCTGTTCCAGGGCTCTATCACCCTCGCAGTGAAGAAGCTCTTCCTCATATGGAGATGGAACTTCCTGTGTTTCAACTTATACCCATTGTCCCTTGTCCTATCACTGGCCACCACTGAAAAGAGTTTGGGCCCTTCCTCCCTTCAGTACAGGATGACTGTTGCTTGACCATAAACTGTGRTAAAAAATGGTCCAGTAAAAATAGGTCCATGGCAGCATGGGTGCCAACATGGAGGGCAACTGTGCAGGACCACTGCTGACTCAGCTACCACAGCCCCAGCTGTGAACTGCAGGTCTTCAGAGCAAAAATTCATCAGTAGAAGAAAGCAATGGCTTTTGGGTATGATTGGTCATCAGAAGACTGCAATATTATGGATGGAAAATGCACCGGCTTTAAACTGGAATTTGAATATATGAAATAGTGAATGCTTGTCTGCTTGGGCAAGCAAAAGCTGTGATTTTGTGGGGTCAGCTAAAGAGGAGCTTGCTGCTACTTACTTGTTTTCCTCACCCTAGTGCTCACAGTTTTGAGCCCACGAGCACTTGCAGCAAATGATGCAGGCTCTTCCTTGGCATCGTGATTCTACAAATCTCCTGGTTTATAACCCTTACTGCAGAAAARCTCAATGTGTAGATTCCTAACACAGAAAGAGAAATGCAGGGAAGAAAAGAGGAGAAAAAGAAGGCCAGAGGGCTGAGGAAAAGAAGTATTATGTCCCCAACATTGCAATGAGTACCTTGTCCCACACAGAAGCCCATAGAAATCACAAGAAAGTAAATTTTGTCATCAGAAGAAATGTGACAGATCCTGAAAACACCAGCCTACAACTCAAACCAGAGCACATTTGAAATTATTCTGGTTAGGATGCAACATTAAGGTTTTTTCCTCTTCTTTATTGTTAAAATTATTTTAGATTTTACAATTGCTTTATAGTTAATCTTTTTGTCTGACAATACATATGAAATTAAGTCTTTAGAGACACCAGAACATTATAATAATTTGTAAAGCTCTTCTTAAAGGTGGTTTAGCCTCATTTGTCTGTGTATATATTTATATGTTTSTGTTTATCCTGCTTTATCTTATTCTATGCAATTATGAAATTGAGTAGAGCACCGGGACAATTTCTTCAAKGTAAACAACTTTTCTGAATACCATGAAAATAGTCGTTTACACTGGATTTGGTTACTATGTTGTGCATAGTCTTTACCTTTTGTGCTTCATTGCAAATTACCACATGTATTAATTTTACTTTTTTTWATATAGTTTCACTTCACTATTCCTTCCAACTTGTTAACTGGTTTCTTGGGTATCAAGTATCAGTTTGTGTTCAAACAGCGCAGTCCTCGATTAGTTTATTATTGATTATCTTAAAAATGAAATCTCTCAGATTTATATCCAGCTCAGTCTAAAATTTCAAAACCAGTTATTTAAATACTATTTTTGTTGTTTTGAATACACTACCTGTAAAACAATCTGAATCCTGTTGAAGCAATCCCAGAAAATATGGACAGATTTTGTCTCAGCACTTCTTRCAGAAATAAGCAATTCTTGACATGAATAACTGGGAGGGAACAGAGTTAGCACCAATAGCTTTGGCATTCCTTGATAGAAGAGAGTTTTGTCCAGCTGTGGATTAAGAGTGAATTACAGGAAATCTACACTGATTTAAGTACATGATAAATGCAAAGATCTTCAAGGCTCTTGTGAAAGATAAACAGTTATTTTTGAAAGTCTGGTTAATTTAAATTTCTCTAAAAAAGAAAGAGCAAAGCTGTTTCAGAGCAATTGGCTCTGAAAGGTCTGTCAGGCATTTGCTTGGCCTCTGCATTCCCTGCATTTCATCCTGCAATTATCAGATTGTCAGAATGGCCTGACTCTTCTTGATTAAGCCCACTTTAAAGTATTAAAGCTATTTGCAACTACTTAATGATCCTTTCAGGTACCAACACTGTCAAGACTTTCTTTAAT